TTGAAAGTATATATATATATATATATATATATATATATATATATATATATATATATTAATAATAATAAAGTATAATAATCTATTAAATGAAAGTGAAAATATTACTAAAAAGGATATGTTCCATATAGATTAATATCGATATAGATAAACTTACCCAAGTTAATTACTCACGTATGTTTCTGTTTTGTGCTGTTGAGTGTTGACTGTGTTCACATGTTTCGCGTGAATCGAAACTACCGCTCAAACATACAGTTATTGATAGAGAGAAAAAAGGGTCAATGCTCATGTGCTTCCTACAATCTGATTGATGTAAAGTGCAAACCTCAACCTTCTGAAATTCATTGGAAAAGAATAAAAAAATATAGCATACAAAACAAAGGAGGGACACAAAAACAGTGACCTTCATTAACAAAGCATTTTAAATTATATTAAATGTCTAACAAAAATACAGCCATGATAAAGCATTCCTCAAAATGTATTTTCTTCATCGTACAGAGTAAAAATTACAAGATTTTTCGTTTATGCGGTGCTTCATATTGGACCTACAATACTTTAGTGGCATATAATAATACCAAAGTAAGGTTGGTAGAGATTTGTTTATTGAGAAGGCTTAAATCTAGTAAGAATATGCTTCAAGAAACTTGACTTATTGTGATTGTGGATTCAGTGGAACAGTCAGCTATAGTGCCATACCAAACGATCCTTGGACGTTACTGCTGCAAAATCTTTGGACCCTTCTTTAAAGGTGACACCATAAGCAGTGTTCCTTTCCATCTAACTCCAAGTGTCCCATTATGACTGAATTGCACTGACTCCACCGACAATTCTCACCCATAAGGATAAATAAATAAAACAAGGAGAAAAGACATCTCACCATTTACACCGTATGTTTGTTCGGTTCATGTGAATCACGTTCGACCCTCGAGGTTTATTAATAAAATTTGTAAAGCAGTCAAAAGTCATTTATCAGCTCAGATTTTAATTCACATATTAGCTCATTTCAACTTTAGGCTTCAACTCAAGACAGGCATAAACAATTGAATAGTCGTCTGTAACTACAACGTTTTTGTTGAGGAAAGGGAAATACAATTCTAATCGACAACGCATGTGAGGTTGAACTTTGCTTTGATGTAACAGAAAGAAAATTATATTTTAGAGTACTGTTAAATCTTTTAGAATTCAACCTAAATATTTAATGTATATGAAGTACAAACTATCTTGAGAATAAATGAGGATATTAAACTAGCTGAGAATGTAGCAGTCATTTCTCATTTCACCTTATCTTATAGCCGAACATGTAACATCACGTCCAACGTACGTTTCTTTCAACTAGCTCTAAACTGAGATCGTCCGTACAGAAACAGCAAAAATGGACATGGAGTCATATTTCCCTCGTATATAAGCCTTAGAAACTTATATGTTCAGACATCATAACTTAATAGAAACATCGTTGATATGTGCACAACTGTTAACAAAAGACTCGTTTAACTTTAACTAAGGGAAGATTAACCACTTTCTTCATTGATCTTGTCGTAATGATGTGTAATCCTTGACCATTAAAATCTCCCCGCATAACTTTCGTGGGACTTGCTCCAACTTCGTTCCTTCTTGCCATGCTTGCCCCACTGAAACCCCAGGTGCTAGATAGCGAACATACACAACAATTTGATCGTTGAAAGGATAAGGATGTTTAACTGCAAAAACAAAAGCCAATTAAATATTAAATAAAACTGGGGTATGCCAGGAATTTGAACAATGACATGAAGACCACCCAGCTTGCCCTCTAGTGTATTAAAGGGTAAAGCAATGAAGAGGTACAGTATAACTAGAAAAGAGTCCCCAAGAAAATAATGCCCCAAGAATACACCAAGCAGACATATCACAGAGAAAGTTTAGGTTAAAATTTAACATCTAAAAGTCAGTATAATTCTCGAAAACAAAAACTTTATATACATCATTGGCTCAAAAAACATGATGTAGGTTAGTGTAATTACCCTTAATAGATATAAATACTTTAAATAATATAACATACATGTATAAAAAGAACAAAAAAAGGTCCCTACCTGGTTTTGGGAAGCCTAATGGGAGTTCTTTGATATCATATACTCCATCCCCGAATTCATATGCTAAATCACATGGCTGTTCAGTTGACATAACTTCCTTAATTTGTCTCACCATAAAATACAACGGAGCGAAGGAGTCAGCAAATGCAGCCAAAGCTGATCCACCTGGGTGGTTGTGAAATTCATAAAATATGTAATTATTGCTAATTGCAAGGACAATCCATTTTAAGCTTGAAATAGTTAACCACAAACAATGCAGCCATGGGATACAAAAAAAAAGCCAAGCGGCACAATTGAATTCATCAAAGATCCTTGATTAAACCAGTCATATCAACATATTGAAGGCAAACCAGCAAGATTATACAACCTCTTTGATCTTCTTCTATAATTCTATACAGATTATTGAAGCATTAGTACTCAGAAACCATGATTTAACGAATTAAAGTGTAACCACTACACAGGTAAAGGCATAAAGCTAACTATGACAATGTACATTATATGACTTTCTAGTTTTGGACAAAATCATAAACTTATTTTCACTCCTTAGTGTAAAGAAAAGGGAATGCGAATTCAATATTATGGATTCATAACAAGTCTTGTGTAAAAGAAAAATAAGTTTCCTTTATTCCTTTACTTTTGTATGTTCGTGTGCAAGTTACTGAGTGTATTCTGTATGTAAAAATAAGTCTTCTTTTAATATTTTGAATCCATATGAACAATTGAGACACCATATATGTTGTTGCATGTAATTGGACATCAAATTGACATTCAAGATCAGACTGACAACACAACCTGAAGATACAAGGAGCAACGGGATTTAAGATTGATGGACATTTTACTACAATGAGTGCTTGTGTAAGGGCATCCATCATGCATTTCTCTGCCAAAAGTTAAGAAACTTACTGATGATTCTCCCATAGACCTGGCCGTCCTTGCAAGAAAATATAGCCTTAAAAAGTAGCAGAAGAGTCAATTCCTCAAATGTCCTTACTGTACTAGAGCAAAAAGGCAAAAAGGAAAAGGCGATTTTACCTTCCTGAAGGAATTTATCCAAGAAATTGGCATTGATCCTATTTAACAAAGTTCAGAATTAATATAACGTTAGTTTTTAAAGCTTAAGACATGCTAAAGCCGAAAAGCTAATACATACAAAAAGATGACAAATATTTACAACCCAGAGACATATTGAGGTACACAGCCAGCAGAAGTATTGGAACATGAAGCCATCAAAGAAGACAGATCAAATTTGCAGGGAAAGAAGCCTTTTCCAATTTAAATGAAAGGTTATTATGATTCCAGGAAAATCAAATAGGAAAAAACTTGGGCATATATAAGAAAAAGGGAAAACATTTAGACCACTAGAATTCAAGCCTGCGTGGTATTAGAGAGCAAAGTAGCCCATAAATTACTGGTCCATTCCTTCACAATGAGGAGTAGTAGGAAACAAAATGCATTCGTTGTAATTAACTTCACCGTGACTAATACCAACAACAATGACGACGATGAATCAGTTCACTAACCTCCACTTGTTCTGCAATTATAATATTCAAGCATAACATCATCTTTGTTGGAGTTGGACAAAAAAGTAGACGCACTTTTCTTCACTAACTTAGGATCCTCATAACGTGTACCAGCTATCTGCCAAGCCATTGACACGAGTCTGCACAAAAATTCCCAGTGTTAGATAAGATGAATGCGAAATAATATAAGCATTTAGAAAAAAGAGTAAGGAAAATACCTAGGTTTCAACAATCGCAGAAGTCGATGACGCCTTTCCTCAGGAATATCCTCAATTTTTTTCCTGAACAGAGATTGAGTGAGAATGAGAAGTAGGTGCGCCATTGTTAGAGTTGCATCATGAGTTACCTACCATAGGTATGCAGCGGGATTATAGGAAGATGGTTCCAAAGGGATCAAGTTCTTAGGAGGATCAAGAAACGTGACCACATCCTGTTCATCCAAGTAAGCCTTTTTACCACTTGGAAGGATTTCAAACGGTTTATCATCCCAAGGTGACACATACAATTGATTGCTCCGAGATACAGCACCGCAAGTAGATTCCATAACCCCATTTCTGCACAATCCCAAACCTAGAAAAATAATCATCCAATTAGTTCAATAGAAGTAGCATAGCATAACACTTTGGAGGTGGTATCAACTCATGCACCTACCTCTCAGCCTTTGATGCATCGGGCGAGAAAAGGAACGAGAACTTGGACAGTGATGGTGCCGGTGCCAGCATGTTGGTGGCGGCGTGGCTGCTGCCGTCATCGCCATGGCATGAAGATAAAAAAAGTCAAAACGCTCCGTCTACTGTGGATAAATAAAAACGCACCAAAACGGAATGTCGTTTAGTTAGCGAGAAATAAAAAAACGACATATTGAGGTGGTGCGTAGCGACAGGTTGTTTCTTCTTATCTTTTTTACTTGCAGAGGATAGTAGAGGGGTGCGATCGGAGAGTGAAGAAATGCTTCTTCAAACGAGGCAGTTGGGCGCGGCGAGGGCGAGCCCATGGGTGACGCTCGCACCATCAAGCGCGGCCAAAAGAAAAGGTTTCGTTTCTTGGAGAATGAGAAATGGGGGCCCAAAATGCTCGGTGTCGTCGTCGACCCAATTGGAAATGAAAAGTGAGAGCAAAACGAAGCCGTATCCGGCAGAGGTATCGAGGACCATAATGGAGTTGGCTCGCGTGGGCACGCTAAGTACGTTGACCCAAGAAGGTTGGCCTCTGGGTACTGGGGTTCGATTCGCGGTTGACCCCGAATATGGCACCCCTTTTTTCTGTTTCACTTCCTCCCACACTAACATTCCCTCTTCTCTTCATGTTCAGGTACCTCTTCTCACTCTCTAATACACTCTCTTGATTATCTATTTTCAACTGATTTATTTTCCTTTCTGTTTGTTTATCAGTTTCAACAATCTGGATTGCGCACTCCTCAATGCACTGTTCAAGGAACCCTTACCAAACCACCAGATCCAAAGGTAACTAAGTAGTCCCTTAAGCATAGTTTGTGTGTATGCTGAGAGATGTTAGTCCTTTGAGTGGATCTCAAGTATTAGTCATTAGCTTCAGTACTTCGAGGAATTAGTCACTACTCATTAGCTTCCAAATGAAAACTAACTAGTTAGTTCCCTTCCCTATCAAATCAAACCCCGTCTCATTGTGTATGTCTGTGTGTAGCGTCTTGTTTCTGTGTGGAGGAAGCGGTTTGGAGAAGAAGTTGATCAAGATTTTATTTACATTATTGCCGTGGATCGTGTACTGCAATTGGAAGACATTCAGGAGGTAGAAACCAACTTCACACTCATTAACCTTACCATAATCTATCTAACCTTGCAATTTAGCTTCTTATGGTTATGCCTGTAATTTGCTTCACTGCAGGATGGCGTGTGGGTCACGTCTTCAGATTACAAAAATGCTCAACCAGATCCTCTTCGAGACTCTGCACTCAACTTAGTCGCTGAAATCAACACCAACAACATGGAAGACATTACCCGATTTTGCAATGTCTACGTTGATTTGGATTTTCTGGTTTGTAACTACTAACACTCTAGTCTATCTAGATAAACCTTTCTAAAAGTATTCAATATTCATAGAAAAATAAAATAGAATGTAAAAATAAGATAAGTTTTTCTATGGCTAAAATAAGTTAAAAATAAGTTTTTGAAGAATCTAATATGAGAAAGAGAAAAATTTTAAAAATTAGTTTATGCATAAACTCATTATCTTGTAAGTGTTTTTAGAGAAGTTTTCCAAACATGTTTATTATCTATGTCTATTAAATAATGTCATCGGAAACACTTTGTTAAACAGCATCCCACTCTAAATTACTTGTGCTATCTTTGTTTGTATTTGGAAGGTTTCGGAAGCAAAGATGATATGGGTTGATCGGTTGGGGTTTGACATGCGTTTGTCTTCCCCTCACAGAGGTGTATTTGACGTCCGCATTCCTTTCCCCAGAGAAGTCACCGATGAAAAAGGTGCCAAGTCCACATTTAATTGTATGTCACAACTCGCTTGGGAGGTTGAAAGGAACTTCCAACATCCAGACTTTACCAAGGTTAAGCAATTGAAGCCAGTGAAGTCCTGTTTTCTGTAACCTACACACCAATTTTGTTTTATTTTCTCATCTTTGTCGAATATCCATCGTTGGTAATTTTTCAAGGAATATGTTCATGTCTTATCGTGGCTTCATTTACTTTTGCATGCCAAGTTTTGATTCATCTAGTTGAGTGGGGTGGTGAGCGGGCTATGACAGGATATTGAACTGCTTTTACCGATCTTAAAAAATATACTAATTAACAAAAGAGTTGATGCAATGTTTGATGTACTTCTAAGTTCTTAGGTGTTTTGTAGCAAAAGCAGGAAAAATCCTATGCACGTGGTATAATGTATAGGCAATGCATTTTGAGATTAAAACCGGGTTCAATAGATTCAAGTAGGTGTTTGCATATACTCATACATCTATAAATGTGTGACATTTAAATAACAAGTAGTATACAGACATATGCCAAGTGTTATGAATAGAATATAAGGTTAATTATATCTTTTCTTTTTCTTTTCTTTATTTTGATTGGATATCACCGGAGGCATAGTTATCAGCTTAATCCTTGAATAAAGGTCGTAATTAGGTAAAGCAATTGTCAGAATGGCTATTTCAAGATTCAAACTTGTAACACTATGGGTAGAGTTTATATAGATTCGTAAGTCACTTCCATTGCGACGAATGTATGTTGCGTGAATATGATGTGATTGATTCGTGTCTAAGTTAATACCAAATGTAAGTATCTTAAAATATTTTTCATGTAATATGATAAATACTTTAAGCTTAAGAATAATCTAAAACTAGAGTTTGTTGAAGAATGCAACTTTGTTACTTGAAAATCTTTTTTCCAATATTTTCTTAAAAATGGAAAAGTAATTACATTACGTAACATACATTATAAGAGAAGAAAAAACTTATATATATAATTCCATGAGAGGCATTTATTCATGTTACTATATACATCTTTTTTCTATAAAAAAATGGAATAATGAAACTTTAAAAATTAAAAGATAATAAATTTACGAAAGTGAAAGTTATCTTTATTAAAAATATTAATTAAGCTTTTAACTGTGATTGCATACAAGTAGCAGTGAAGGCCTACGTGCAAATGATTTGTATCTCTCTACACAGACATTACGTTAGAGTTACATTACCATTATGTTAACTACAAGAGAGAAAAAATCATAGAGCAGCTAGAGTCAAACGGAATTGATGACTGACTTCTTTTATTTTAGTAATCAAGTCTGTCTGTTTAATGCTACTACCCTTCCTCTGCTTTGGCTGAAACAGAGACCAAATCTTGTTCTCCAAACTCTGCGCAGTATATTTCATATTCTTGTCAACCTTAGCATCACTTTCAATTAACAAACAATAATTCTTGACATAGGCTTTGTAGATTGGCACAATACCTTCCGCCAAATGCTTGCATATATTTTCCCTCAAGATCTCATCTGATATTACCCAATTAGATTGTTTCTTGTACCTTTCATCAAAAGCTAAATTGAAAGCATTTAGCTTCTTTGCCAAATCTTGGCTTGTCACACTTGCACCAGAGGATGAAAGTATGTCCTTTTGAACTACAAGAATAGGTAGAACCTTTCCCCAGCTATTCCTCAAATAAAGTGCTGCATAATAGTCCTTATATTGTTCGTGTGCTCTTAACCAAGAATCTCCCATCATATTTCCAAGCACAGTACCCCTCAAATTGCTGAAATGACAGTGGTTATTCATCATAAAAAGGTAGGACAAAGTGATATCTTCATAGACCTTGGACCAAGCATCCAAATTAACCGCAACCTCCTTGATTGTGTTATATATTTGGCTTAAAACAATACCCTCTTCATATGATTCCTTTCTCCAGCTAAGATGTATTCTCAAAACCTGTGTCAAATGTGGCCTAAAGGCATCACCAAGCAACTGATTGCAGTAATCTGTCACAAAGCTTACAAGCCTGGGAACACTGCCATCTGGGGGAGGAGAAGTTGGCCTTTGCAACTTAACTTGTGCTGGAAGTTGCCAGAATATCTCACTGGCACCATTGACTACTTTTTTGATAAGATCCTCTGTCACAGTTCTAATTTCTTTACAAGCTTTCCAGCTGAAAAGCTGGTTGAATTCTAGTCTTAGGCCATTTAAGACCCTGAATATGGACAGCAGGTTCAGCAACTTGAAGGGATCATTTTTCCTCTCAGTAACTATCCTTCCAAATTGAATAAAAGAAAGAATCCCTGATTCAGTGGCAATCTTTGCAAAACACCCCATCCATGCTTCTGGCCCAATTTTCTCAAAGACAATAGTAGAGAGCCTGCACTCAATCTCAAGCAATCGCTTCACAACCAACTCCAAATGGCTGCCCCATTGGTCTATGTAACTCTCTATACACTGCCCAGCCTCAAATTCAGCTGTTGTAGTCTCGAAGTAACTCAAATCTAAAGTCTTCAAGCTTCGACGAGCATTCGTAACTCGAACTTCAACGTATATAGATTGACACTTGTCTAGCCTGCCAGTAGCATGTAATCTCTCAATGATGGCATGCAACTTCCCTGCCAAAGAACCTGTCAATGGCAAAAATTGTTGGCCAATGTGTGATGTCAACGAAACCAAAGGAAGAGGCATCGAGTTTGCTATCAGAAGCCTGTGGAACTCAAGCTCTAGTTTGTCAAAAGCAGTACTAAGAAGTCCTCCATCAAGGCGAGCACCTTCCTCCTTGGCCTGCAATTGTTGCAATATTCTCAAAGATTTCTTCATATTCAACAGGTAAAGCTCATTGGTAATTGCTTTGTCTTGTAAGAACTCAAAAACGCCCTTCAACCAGCCAACTGCTAACCTGCAATTATCAGTGAGGAGCTTCAGTGCCTCCTCAAGCTTCTTTGTGTCTGAGACATAGGTGTGTAGATCAGAACAAGGGTCTTTCAAGAGAGAATGCTCCAACTGATTAACAGAGTCAAAAACCTTGAGGACGGCAGCAGCAGAACATAGAACACTGTCTATACCATGGTCAATGTTAACTAATGTGCACCTTTGCATTGAGATGGGTCTAAGGGAAGCTTGCAAGGACAGATATTTCTGGTTAAGTAGCTCCAATCTTGATCCAGACTCATCTAATGCAGAGGCAATAGCGCTTGATGTTTCCAAACTAGTTGTCAAGCTATTTCTGGCTGCTTCAAGATCCCCTTTGATTTCCATGTCAATGGCAAATCAAGTACTAACTTGAAATGATTACTAGTTTGGCTTTTAGTTTTAGATTGCATTAAGTTACACATGAAGGTTGGTCTAATGAAAAAGATAATCTTTGTTGGTTTCTTGTTCATCGCCCCCACTCACATTCCTTCACCAAACTCAACAAACAAAGTAAAAGGGAGATAACTTCACTTGGAATACAAACATCTCAGTAATCTCAACCACCAGGCGGTAGAATTTCCTTGAATTAGGGTACCATATGCACAACTAATTTCTGTAGTCATTGTTTATTCCTCATATTGTGTTGGTCAAGCCTAGCTTTGTTGTTTTATTAGACGACCAACACCTGCTTGCTAGTCTTGCTTCAATTGCCTCCACAATCTCCCAACAAAATACAACGAACTTCGAGTTTTCGCTGCACGCAACTCCTTTTGATTTTACGCGCCTTTAATTTGTCTTGTAACTGGTGTCATGAAGCAAATGTCACAATGAAAAAGCATACAAGTTACGAAGTTGTTATTTTACAGGTACACTCGTGATTAACGCGAGATAAAAACTTCTTACAAAATTTATTTAAATTTATAAAAATAACTTGCGATTCAATGGTTTGATAGTTTGATTCTATAATAATAATAAATAAATAAAAACTCACTTTGATATCTCAAAGAATGAATCTTGGACTATTGGAGGATATACTTGTTACAAATAAATAAAGTTTTATTTATTTATTTTATTGATTTTTGAATGAAACTTATCAAAATAATTTAATTTATTTCAATAACTCTTATTAAATTTAAGCTTAATTATATTTTTAGTCTTTAGCATAACAATTATGTGAAACTAGTTACTTTTTCAAGTAACATAATCGTGCAATTTTATTTTCTCAATCATTTTTTTATTAAAAGTCCAACAATTTTAGTTGATATGAAATTAATGGATGACATGGTGTTCAATTAGGTAGATGACACAATGTTGACATAACACGAAAATGTGTCATGTGAAAATGTTAAGTAATTACTTATTACTTATTTAAGTACATAATTAAAAGGTTTTTCTATTATTTACACTTACTATTTCTTTTTTGTTTTCAAATAAAGAATGTCAACATTTGTATTCTTCCTAAGAGTGTTCATAACAGAATCAACCCGAATGAAAAATTGTAAACTGATCTAAAAAATTAAAAATTGATAAAAAAAATTGCAAATTAGCGATTCGGTTTGGTTTTTAAATTTCTAAAACTGCGCGGTTTGATTCAGTTTTCGGATTAGAATGTGAAACCACTTCAAATCAAACCAAATCACACTTATTTGTAAAAAAAAATCTAAATGCATAGTGTGTGACACCCTCTACTCCTCATACATAAATTCAATATCATAAAATAATATTCTGAAAAACATTATTTAATAATTGAAAACTAAGGGTAAAAGATATCACATTCAAAACTCCAAACATAACAAGACTAAAATTAAAGTAATTACAAGAAATATCAAATGTTGCAAAAACTTTTTTCAAGAAAAGAAATAAAAATCTCTAATGCAATAAAATAGAAAATAACCCTTGTACTAAAGTCCCAATGTCACATCCTATTAGAGCAATCTCATCACCAATTCAATTTCCTCCAAAGTCAAAGTCACTTGCATAACATACCAAAAACAAGACACAAAAGACAAATGAGAGTAAGAACATATTTCACTCTGACTACTGATGCAGGAAATGGACGGATAGCTACAAACATACAAAATATATAACTAGATAAAATATAATCAATAACAATAATTTATTCATCGCAATGTAGTAATAAAACAATGAACATTCCATATCCTATCACACCACATATCATCATAATAACATAATTAATATACAAAGGTATGTTATGCTCATGCAAGGACAAGACTCTCCTAACTACATGCATGTGGCACTAGTAAAATACTTTATCACCATCCGAAGTTTGAGTAGTC